TTTTTTTTTTTTTTTTTTTTTTTTTTTTTGTGTGTGTGTGTGTGCGTGTACACACCATGGGTCCAAATCAGGGTCTTGCACATCTGAGGTAAGCACTCTCCCAGTGAGCTACACCCCAGGTTTCAACTTCATTTCTTACCTTCACTAAAAGATCCTTGGCCTCCTTTTCTAGCCACCTCGGGTAAAAGGGATTGTCCATGCGGATGGAGTGGAAAAGCTCCTCTTCGTCCTGCCCGTGGAAAGGCGACTGGCCAATCAGCATCTCATAAAGGAGAACGCCGAAAGACCACCAGTCAACAGAATGGTTGTATTTCTGGCCCAGCAAGATCTATGTGATCAAAAGGCAGAGCGTGGTCAGTACATGAGTCTGATGACTGATAACACTTCCAAGTCTGGAGGTAAGTGACTGGCTGTGACCATCTGTCGTCTCAGCTGAGAACTGTATCTTCTGGCAAGCTGGTGACAAATGGCTACACCATGACCAAGTTTCTGAGTCTAAGTAAACCCTTCAGAGCTTCATTTCCTGCTTTTCTCCTCTAGCTTTGAGTATAATGACTGACCAGAGCCTGTAGCTCTCATTTTCTCGTCTAGGCTGTGAGGTTCTGGCTGGTGGTATCCCACAGGTATTGTATCCTATAGAGCTGGCTTGAGTCTAAGCCAGATAAAACCCGCTGGCTTCTCTTCTCCCACCTCTACATAAAATCACAAAGATACCAGTTAACCCAGTCCCATCTTTAAAACCTACCCAGTCACAATTGTGCGTGTCAAGAGCCACATGCCTAGTCACTGGGGCTCGGAATGAAGTCATGTTATTATCATGAGCGAGGACAGCAGACTTGGGTCCAAGGACCAGAGACTCCCCAGAGCTACCTACAGCTTAGGACAGGTTCTGAGCACAGTCCGGCCTGTCGTCCAGGGAAGAGGAGTAAAGGTAGGAATTCTACCAAACTTAATTTGTTTTTATCTGCTTGTAGCAATAAAGGCTTTGCACCTTGACTTTCAGCAGCTTCCTTGTCTGCTGGAAGGCAAGGAATGCGCAAGCACACCACCCTAACGAAGCAGCCCCTCCCCCCGGCTTTGCTAAAACAGTGCGTAGAGAGATCCCCAACCACATGAATGACTGAAGATGATGTGATGGTGGATGTGGAAGCAAAGCAACAAATTTAGTGTGCTTGAGACACGTGGGCACCGTGTTCGAGGCAGTAATGTTTATGGGAGGGAAGACAGAACATCAGGCAAAGAGCCCGCCAATGGAATGAATGCACAAAGGAACTGCAAAACATAGACACAGCAGAGTACTACCCCACATTACAAGTATAGGTGAACCCAGAGCACTTTACGCTTAAGCGAAGTCAGCCAGAGGCAAAGGCAAACACTGCCTGACTCCTCTGTGCGAGATACCCCCCGGCCCTGGATCAGAGCGGCGTGAGGCTGAGGGACCTGAAACAGTGCCCGACAACCCCACAGCTCTGATGGCTGTAAAAAGTCCCACCGGCTCTGCACGGGCTGCATCTCTCGTCTGCACAGCTTGGGGAAGACTCCTTCCCCCTCGTAACCTGCCTTGTTAGGTACTCATGCGTGGCTACCTAACTACAGGTGGCTCTAAGGAGCCTGCAGAAAGGAGGAAAGTCAAGGCGGTTTGTGACCTGGAACTTGCTGTAAGTGCAATGCTGGACAGCTGCTTAGATGAAACTCATCTCCATGTGTGGAAATAAAGGTCACTTTGCAATCTGCCACCATTGTAAACTGCAACATGGTAGCTGGAATTCAATATTTGACTCTAAAAGCTCACCTTGAAGTTAACAAAAAGTCATTTGCCTTAAGGAATAGTGTAAATGTCAGACCAGGGAGAGTGGCAAGGAAGAAAAGATGCACCATTAGTGTATACAATCAATTGGTCCAGCCCTACACACAAAGGGGAACCTGTATGAGGGACAAGGCTCACACGCAATTCCCAAGATTTGCCACATGGTGGTGCCAAAGCAACCAGAACCGGCTCTGAGCAAGCGTCTATGTAAACAAACTCATTTTGGAGGAACAAATGAAAAGAGATTCCGAGGCCAGGAGACAGCTGTCTCGAAAATTAGAGCTTCGAGGCTAGGTGATGTTAGTTAAAGCAAATGCAGAGGAGGGAACAGAATGCAAATCCACACAGGGAACAGGCTATTTGAAAAGGAGCGTTAACATTCACTGGGTATTTTGTTATACATTATGTCTTGATTTCCAAGAACACCTCCAATCTCTGCTGTTATCTCTGACTGGACTTAGGAGGCTGGGTTTCTTATTTCAGATCCCACGGTGGGTTGAGAGCTGGGATCTGCAGTCCCGTCTCTGGGGATTTCAGTTCACAGTTAATATTGTCTCCTGGTATTTCTCTCTTCCTGCATGGTTCTTTGCACTGCTCTGTGGTGGAAAGGACCGTGCAGCTTGGACTTGCTAGAGGGTCCCCTTTCCTAGCTCTACCTTACTCCAGGAATTAAGACTCACAACTTTAAATTGGGAGAGACTAGCCTAATAATAATAATAATAATAATAATAATAATAATAATAATAATAATAGCCTGTCACTCTCTGTCACAGACCTCTTTGTCCCTTGTGATGGGTGACAGTAGCAGTCCCTTCTGCCCCTGGAGCTAGTGTGTTCATGTGTGGTGATGATGATGAGTAGCTACGTATCCTGTTAGTGAACATAAGTAGCGAACAGGACATTTAGGCCTGAGGTAGAGTTTAAATAAATGCTACCAATACATGGGAGGTAAGAAATGAGGCTGACATGTCTTGTTCAGACAGCTTTTTTGTCAGCCATGCATGAAGCTAACACCAGTGGACTCATTAACCATGTCTTAGCCAAAAAGAAGCTTGCTTAGATAGAAGGGGTCTTTAAAATAGTGCTTTGGATAATGGATTTACATCTCCTATCACCAGTAATAGTCCTTACTCAATACAGACTATCAATTCTGTTTTATCTTGACGTCTTTACCAGGTGTGCAAGTAGGAGAATTAAGAATTTGAAGAAATACATCAGACATTTCAATACCAGAGCCCTAAAGGTTTAAAGCAAAAAAAATTATACTTATTTGATGCAGGAAGGCATGTGGTTGCCATGACACATGTGTGGAGGTCAGAGGACAAGTTGCCAGGAGTCTATTTCTTTTATCACGTGGGTCCTAGGGGTGGATCTCAGGTTGTCAGGCGTGCTAAAATGTGCCGTTAGCCGCTGAGCCATCTCAGGGCTTCCGAAACCAAAACTTTTTTTTTTTTTTTTAATTGTTTGATCTTCTAAGTATACTCTTGACCCCTCAACAAGGAAATTTCCCTTTGCAACAGATAGGGCAACCACTACAGAAAAACAAATGAAAGCAGAGCCTGGAGGCCCCAGTCCCCACTGATGCTAACAACTGTGTTAAAGAGGGGGAAGAGGAATTGTAGGAGTCAGAAGAATGACGTTCTCTGTGAGATTGTCTCTACTGAGAATGTCAGACGCTACACGCACAGTCTCACATGACTGCCTAAACACAAGCTGAACAAGGGCAGCGCCAATAGTCATGCCAAAGTCCACAGGGGAAGAACGCTCGTGAGGCCTCAACCCTGGACAAAGAACTACAGACAACTAGAGAATTCTGAGAGCAGGAGAAATAGTCTGCCCTAGGGAAGAGCACACCAACTGGTCACATAATATCAAACATACATGAAAACATACACGCAGGTAATATTATGAAGACCGAGAAGGTTGTACTTACGCATTTAGGGACACACACACAACAACAACAATTAATGAAAAAAGAGGCCGCGAATTTGAAAGACAGCAAGAAGAGATATATAGGAGGGTTGGAAGGGGAAAAAAAAAAGGGAAGGAGGGATGATGTAATTATTTTAAATCTCAAAAAAATAAGAGAAATAACTTTAAAAATGTCATTTGATCTCCTAATTTTAATGACATATATTTTACTTTCTACTATTAATAACATAGAACAAAATTAAGCTGTTTAGTACCAGTTTTTAGTACTGTCTCATTCTTAGTTTAATTTGATCTTATACATTTTAGGTATGTTCTTTGAATCATAGATCACGTTAATTGGTAGCAATGCATGAGGTTCATGTATAGTGTAAACACATACACTCATCTTCAGAGTGTTGGCTTAACTGATAAAGAAACAACATCAAAAATTGGAGATTATCGGGCTGCTGAGATGGCTCGGGATAAGGGTGCTTGCTAGCAAGTTTGATCCCAGGACCTACATGGTGGAGGAAAAAAAAAAAACTGACGCCGTGCAAGTTGTCTCCCATGTAAGCCACGATGACCTTCATAAATGATGATTATACAGGTAAATAAATAATTATATAGATAGATGAGTGTATTTTAAAAGCTTGAAAACATGTAGAGGCTGGTGATGTGTATGATGGAGGAAACGCATGAAGAAGGGCCTGGGATTCAGGGCAAGATAGGCTAAAGCAATGCCCAGAATGGATGGGGAAGAACTATACATTTCTGGAGGACCAAATAAAAAGATGCATTTTGAGAGTTGAGTAGGAACAAGGAAAAGTCTTGATTCAGTCTCCAGATCTGGGGAGTGAGAGGTCCCACTAAGGAAAGCCTTTGCCTGGATTTAGAGAAGAAGCGAGAACACTTGAGAATCAACTGGTAGATGGCCTATGGTTAATCATGAAAGATGTGCTAAGGGAAAGAGAAAGAGTGGGAAGCTCCAACAGAGAAAGTGAGTTTGGGAGCTATAATGTTTGAAGGGCCCGTGATGTATATAAATCTATGATACATATAGGAAGGTCTGAAGCAAGACAAAGTTTGGGCTGGCCACACATGTTCTAGAGCTAAAACCATTGTCATAGGTAAAGTTACTCAGTAGAGAATACACAACAAGGGGCTGGAGAGAGAGACCAGCAGTTAAGAACAAGCATTGCTTTTGCAGAGTACTGGAGTTCAATTCCCAGCACCCATGTTGGGATGCTACCCGTTCTTCAGCTCCAGGAGATCTGATATCCTAGTTTTGCCTCTCTGGGTACCAATACACACATCCACAAAGCCTTCCCCTGCATGTATGTGTACATAATAAAAAGTAAAGTAAATTTGAGAGAGGTAAGGGAGAGAGAGATAGAGAGAATATAATGAGAAGAGACAAAAAACTAAGCCACAGGGAGACGAGCATGCTTCAAAGAGAGGGAAAGATGGGAGTTGCAAAAGAAAGCAGCAGGTCACGGAAGCAAAGTTCTAGAAGCTGTGAAAGGAAACAGATCCGGGAAGGGAAGCTTTGCTGAGGAAACAACAAAGCCTAAGAATTTGCAGACAAGAAGAACAAGAACAGACACAAAGATATTTAGACCCCGTAAGGTAGAAGTAGCTCATGGAGTGGCGGTTGGAGCAGTGGGGGAGTGGACATGGGTGGGGAGGGGTGGGTGTGAAGCAAGAGGAAGACACCAGAGACCTTTGCTGAGACTAACATGATCCAGCTGAGCTGAGTCAGCAGTTTAGGATCATCCCTAAAGGGATCTGGTGCTGCATCGAGCCTGCTCTGAGGTCGCCTACACTCGCGCCATAATTAGCTTTGGCTTCCCCTCAGCTGAAACTGGCTTATTGCACCCACGGCCGGGATCTGTGCTCACATGCAGGTTCTAATATAAAAGTTCTAATATAAAAGACATCACAGCAATGAACGGAACTGGACAGCTAAAGCAACCACAAATATTTTGAAGAACAGTGGCCATTCACACCTTTCGATGAGGTTAAGTTAAAATTAAAACCACGGTAGCATCCTTGTTCTTAAGCTCCAGCCCGATGCCGCAGTTGACAGATTATGGGGATCTGCTTCGGGCATTGTTTTACCTGGGAAATCAGAGGTGTGCCCTTAGACAATCATCCTCCATTCACAAGTTCATTCATTTATTCAATTAAAAATTAGATTTAATTACCTTTATTTTATGAGCATTGATGTTTTGCCTGCAGGCATGTCTATGTGAGAGCGTCAGATCTTAGAGTTATGGACAGTTGTGAGGTGCTTTGTGGGTGCTGGGATTTGAACCCAGGTCCTCTGGAAGGCAGTCAGTGCCCTTAAAGCGGGGTCATCTCTCCAGGCCCCGTTCATTCACTTGTAAAGGCTAATTTGTCTCACTTTTCTGTGTCAGTCCCCTCACTGAGTCCTTGCCTGTGAAAGGTAAGATCATCCAAATCCTCCCATGAGGGGGACTGGTAGGATGTCCCTCACAGTCTTAAGTGTTTGGATACTTTGGTGGCACTGTTGGGGGAGCCTTAGGAAGTGTGGCTTTGCTAGAGGGATTGTGTCACTGGGGTGAGGATTTGAGGATTGAAAGCCTCTCACCTCACTATTCCCTGGGCTCCCTGCTTGTGGTTCAAGACTTGAGCACAAGTCTGCCTGCTGCCAACCTTCCTGCCTGTGATGGTGCTGGACTCTTATCCCTCTGGAACTGTAAACCCAAATAAGCCCTTTCTTCTATACGTTGCCTTAGTTATGGTGTTTTATCACAGCTAGAGAAAAGTAACTACTACACTTTGTGTGTGTGTGTGTGATTTATGAGCAGATGCGAATGTATGTATGTAGGTGTGTGCAGCCACGATGGTGCAAGACGCTGAGTATCCTATTATTGAACTCTCTACCTTATTCCTTGAGGCAGGGTCTCTCACTGAATTTGGAGCTAGGCTTGCAGTCAGCAAATCCTTGTGATTCTCCTGTCCCTACCTTCCAAAGGTCTGAGGTTATAGGTGTACGTGGCCATGCCTGGTTTTTTAAAGTGGGTGCTAGAAGGTTTGCTTGGGCAGGAAGTTGCCTCACCCATTGTGCCATCTCTCCAGCTGCTGAGCTATTCGAGATGTAACCAATGGAGGAAGCTGGGTGGAGGGTGCAGGTCCCTACCTTTGGGACTTCTTACAGACTTACACTTGTTTCAAAACTTAAAAAGCTTTTTAAAAGGGAGCAACAGTACCAGACTTTAGAGCAAACAAACAGCTGTGCAGGAGATTGAAAGATTAAAAATAAAATAATGCAACATGGTCGGATATTCCATGTTATGTCAAGGACCACAGGGCAAGGCAGTCTCTAATCTCCCTGGGGTGGGCAGCTAGAGGAGGATTCCCCAAAGGGGAAAGGGAGTTTAGGTGAAAGGATAGATGCCTCCTGAGAAAATGCTCATCCTCAGACTAGCAGGAAAATGATTTACTGATAAAACTTAATTTTTAGAAGCCTCGTTTTTTTTTTGTTTTTTTGTTTGTTTGTTTGTTTGTTTGTTTAGGTTTTTCTTCCTAGCAATGATTAATCATATACAGTAATGAATTTCATTATGAAGTTTTCGGACATGCAGATGCTCCCTCCTTAACTCTCTGCCATAACACTTCGACACAGAGTTAACTCTCATTGTGAGAAGGGGCTACACTCATTTAGGAATGGGGTGTGGGAGGTGTTAACAACCACATTCTCCGGCCCTCCAGGTGTTCTTCTCCCAATGTGAACCTGACCTGGGTGGATCTCTGCTTCTCCCTGACTCTTTGCCAGGTGCTCCTGCTGTTGGATCAGAACAGGTAATTTTTTTTTTTAAGGCTGGGGTTGTTCAGAACCATGGCTCAAAGGCGGGCCAAGCCCCTCTAGCCACGAAGAGATGATGTTAGCATTTTCGTGTATGTGTGTCTGCATCTGGAAACCACTCCCCAGAGCAAACCAAATGCTGAATCTTAGAGGGAGAAAGCGCTTGGTTTCAGCGCACTGGGCTGGGGAAGGACCTCCCAGGCAGTGTGGCCTTACCTCCGGAGCGATGTAGTCAGGAGTCCCACAGAAAGTGTTAGTCTTCGCATCTCCTAGCATGTTCTCCTTGCACATCCCAAAATCTGCGATTTTGATATGTCCATCTCTGTCTAAGAGGATATTATCTAGCTTCAGGTCCCTGAAAAACAAAAACGAAGGGAAACCTCACTTGAATTAACACAGTTTTGTTAAAGTGAAATTCTCATGGTATGGGAGCTTGAGGGGAAGCTCTGTTGCACCTCATCCCCTAGACCATCAGGGGCTGTCATTTGTCCTACTACCCATATCGGTAGCCCATGCTCAGGGCTTCTCTTGAGGCCTTTGGTGCCCTGGCCATCTGGCTTGGGCCAGATACTCTAACAGATTCTCATGTCTTCCCTCCCCTTCTAAGTACTTGTTGCACCTTAGGGCCTCGATCCATATATTCTCTGTGGCTGTGTCTCAGCAGGACAGTGAGTATATCAATGACCTGGGTCATTGCCCTAGTGGCTGTTCTGACAACAGCAACAGAACAGCACACACTAAACACTCAATTATATTTATGGAGTCAATTAACAACCAAGCAATGGTTATTAGCTGTGAGGCACACCTGAGTAACTCTTCTAACGCCAGCTCTCCACTTCCTGTGAGACTAAGGTAGCTAGAGAAACAGAGTGGGACCCGGCTATGCTGCTGGAGCTGAGATGTAGCAGATGTACCTGGAGCTGATGGCTTCCATTTGGGCCAGGTTAGTCATCTCTGCTACCCACGTGTCACCAACAGTTTCTGTGTGACTGGGAATCCCTAGACATGTCTCAGATTCGTGATACTATCTGTTCTTGACACACTTTCATGGTCAAGAGCAAAGATGCCTGCTATATCTAATGCTTCTCTTGGCAAGTGCTAGTCTTCTGCCTCCTGATGTCCCACTGGAGCTAAATATACAACATAGCAATTTTATCCCCTTAAATTCAGTTACAGGCTAATCTAAATTCACATGCTAACAGTCCGGGCTTATTAGCTTAATCCATATGCTCTGCCATATTGGTGTCACTTTAAGTTTGCCATCTGTACCTATGTTTATATAGCTCTAAAACTTGGCTGGGGATGGTGACAGTCATCTCTAAGGAGCCAGACAGATATCTAGCTGTGAGGCTTTAGAAAAGACCAGAACAACAATGTACATGGAATTTAGTACTTTCGCTGACTTCTTTCGCTTGTCCATACATTCCATCATTCGATTCTCACAGTGTCTTCAGATATCAGATTATTATTATTGTGTGTTATGGGTGTGGATGTGTGTGGTGTGTCGTGTTATACACAGGCACACGTGTGGGTGGGTGCTCACACTTGTTTGTGCATGTGTGGAGGAGAGAGAAAGAGGGAAGATACCCTGTTCTATCACTCCCCACCTTCTCTTCTTGACACGGGGTGTCCTTGGAGCTGGGCTGGCAACCTGCAAGCCCCAGTGACCCTCCTGTCTCCCCTCCATCCACTACCGGGATTACAAATGCATGAGTCATACTTGGCTTTTTGTGGGGTGTTGGGGATTTGAACTCAGGTTTATGAGCTTCAGAACTAAGTACTGCTTCCTGTCCCGTGAGCCAGTCCCTCATCCCCATCAAGTTATTATTAGTACTGGCTGTTCTAAGATGAAAGTTTCTCACAGGTAATGTTCTTTATCTGGACCACACAGTCAGGCAGTGGCCTGGGATGCAAACCTAGTCTTCTCTCTTAGATCCTTTTAGACAAAGACCACCTGGTGTTTCTCATCAAACTGGTCTCATGAAATTATACAAAGATGTATTTTAACTGATCTAAAAATAAATGTTCTCTGTGCCTCTGGCTAGGAAAAACAAGCTTCATGTCAAATTTGCAATCCACTTTTTTTTTAAAGAGTACAGATGTCTTTGGGATTGTGGGACGGAAGGTCTGAGAGATGAGAGTTGGAATGGAAAGGTCCAGAAGGTTTTTTTTTTTCCCAAGCCAGACCTCCATAGTAGTAAGGAATGAAGGCAGAAGACTAGCTACGTTCTTTGCAGCCAACTAGAGATGCTTTAGAACCTAAAGAAGAGCATTCTGAGGCAAGTCACTCAACTGACTCCTCACCACAGGACATCAGGACTCAAGAGCTTTAGAGTCCACAGCCATTGTTTGTCTCTGTGGCAGAACAGAGAACTCAGCGGACCCTGTGTCATGTGGTCAGTGCTGGGAAGATCTTCTGTTCATAAGCCAAGTAGAGTTGGTTTCATGGTGGACTTCCCCAGCTGTCACCTGCCCTTTGCTGAGCCTCCTGTTACTAACAACAAACAAAGGGCATGGCGCCTCTTGCTTATCTCTGTGGCATCTACTGAGACAGGCCACGTGAAAGCATTTAAAAGTGGCCTCAGATATGTAGGTGAGGTCATTTACCATTCAGAAATACAGTTAATTCCTCCTCAGCTCAGTATTTCCACAGTTGGGGTTCCAGCTTGTCTTTTTATGTCTGTGTATTTTCTGAGTCCTTGATTTTATGTTATGTCCAAACTAAGACTTAGGGCATCTTTCAAGATGCTGCCGTTTCCAGTAGGAGGCTCCCTTATGATGTGGGCATCTACCCAGGTCTCCCCTTCTCATTAGTTCAGTTCTGTGCTATCCAATCACAGGCTCTGGACTCGCTAATTAAGTTTTGCTCCACAAGAGGTGGTAAGCAGCTCTAAGAGCTAACTGGTCTATCCCTTTCTGCTTCACTTCTGTGGGGTGTGTGTGTGTGTGTGTGTGTGTGTGTGTGTCTGTGATAGAGGGAGAGCAGACAGACAGAGAGACAGAGAGAGACACACACACACACACACAGACAGATATACAGAGAGAGGTTTCTCTGCAGTCGTTTTCTCTACTTGAAAACTCCTCTTTCCCTTAAGAAAAAGAACCCTACTGGAAGATAAGAAGTTTTTGTTGTTGGAGTGCTATCAGTTCTGACAAGGTCTTTTCTTGCCTTCTCTTTTAAAACTGGAATCATATTTATTTGGGCTCTTTAGGATGCACTGCCCCCATCTTTTCATCTACTTCTACCCTTCTCCCCAAATCTAGAAAGTGTATTTATTTAGATATGTTAGAGTTCAGAATTCTACATATTTTCTGCCCATCAGAGACTATTTATTGTGAAGGTTCATCAGTTCATGATACTGGTTGCAGAGTAGTGAATGGTGCCTACCCCATTACATGTATGTTTATATTCACACACAGACACACACACACACACACACACACACACACACACACACACACACACATTGGAGACTCAAAAGGTAGCCCAAACTATTCTTGGCTTGTAATTTTCTTGCCTCAGCTTCTTGACTGCCAGGATCACAGGCATGTACCACCATGCCTGGCTCTGTATATGTGTGTGTGTGTATGAGTGTGTATAGATACAGATATAGATGTAGATAGAGATAGAGATGATAGATAGAGATATCTACACATACATGTACACATACATATATGTGTGTGTATTATATATAATATAAAGAATATGGTTCATGCCCTACTCCCTAGAATGTTGTGACTATGATCTCATTTAAGGAAAAGAGTATGTGTTGACATAATGAAGTTATTAAGGTGTCAAGACGAACTCATTCTGAATTGCATGTGTGGGAAAGACAGACGAAATCTATCATGCCTTCTTCTCAGCCACATGGTGGACAGACACACAAGGAGGAAGGCCATGCCAAGGTGGAGACAGAGATGGGAATGATGTAGCTATGGGCCAAAAAATGCCTGCAGCTACCCCAGTGGGGCTGGCTGATGAAGGCTCCTCTTCTAAGCCTTTGATGAAAGGATAGCCCTGCCTGTAATTTGAGTTCAGCTTTCTAGTCTCTAGAACTGACAGAATAATGTTCTGTTTTTATTCATGTGCCCCCAAGACTGGTTTAATTTTAGGTAGCCCTTCAAAATGACTAAGTACAGTTTGTAAACAGAAAAACATAATCCTATGAGGTCTGTAGAAGGAAATGAATAGGCTCTCTTCAGCAATCCAGCCACCATATTAAAAGTTTAGATCAGTCAAGTTATACTTGCTCACTGGAAGCATCTCTTAAAGCAGGCCAAGTTCAGTGTCAGCAGCAGCTGATGTCTGGTGTCAACTTTCCTTGCCAGCAGCTTGCTGTCTTCCACAAGTAGCATACAGGCAGAGTTGATGGCCTCATCTCAATTTTAATGATCTTATAATATCTCTCAAAGATCTACCATGACTTCACTCAGTGAACCAAAGATGCTTCCCTGTTTGGTACATAGAAGACTTAAAACCATGACTCACATACATGGAGAGAGCCCTAAAATGAGTGTATGCTGTTTGTCATAGGAAGACATTTATTGGTCCTTTTGTGCAGCACATCCAACAGCACAGCTACCAAGATGCAAACGGGGGAAGAGAGACACTAGAGCATATGGATTTCAGTTTTAAAGGTCCCTTTTAACTGTGACATCCAGTTCTCTCTCCTTCAAAAACAATCCCTGATTTTGTTCTTCTCTCACATCTATCTAGCACTCAAACTGTCCATTTATTGATCCATTCACTCATCCATTTATCAAGACATCCATTAAGTCTTTCATCCACTTACCAGTCTGTCCACTTATCAACTTGAAAACTGTGCAATATTAAGTACAAGAGTGTTTTGCATATTGCAGGAGTTATAAAGAAACTAAAACAGCATGCAGCTTGATCAAGGTCTTTAAATAATGTTCAGATGAATATGGAGATATGACAGCATATACCCATTTTAGGGCTCTTGATATGTTTAATAATGTAGGTCATGATTTCAAGTCTTATGTTCTAATAAGGAAGGATATGGAATTTGTTTAGTGTGTCCATGAGGTTATAAGATCCTTGAAAGTCATCATCTTTAATATACTTCTTTGTAGATAGAAAAAAAAAAAACATTCTGGAGAAATAGCTTAGTACCAAATAGGATTTGTTGCTCATCTGGAGAACCTGAATTTGATTCCTGGCATCCAGGTAAGGTATCACACAACCACCTGTAACTATTTCTGAAGAATTTGATGTTTTTTTTTTCTGGCCTCTGTAGATACTGTGTACATGTCTCTCTCTCTCACAGACACCTTAAAAAAGAAGCTTATACTCAGAGTATGTGTAAGGAGGCTGGCTTTCCAGGACATTCCAGGTGCTCAGCTTTGAGACACTGCACAGAGCACCCCTGCCAGAACACATCTGGAAGTGGAGTGTTCTTACTATGTGATTGTTTTTTCAGATAGGACATGTGTAAACACCAAAGCTTCAGTGTTGACCAAAGCTCTGTGCTGCCTGCTGTCTGCAAAAAGCCAAGTGCAAGACAATGGAACTTTTAATAGTGACTCCAGGTCATGACTGTCCAAGAACAGGGCCCTGTTCTTGGTTTCTGCTAGTTCATCCAACTCCTCCTCAGCTCCTTTCCCTCTCTGTCTCCTTCCCTTCATCTGTAGTGAGTGTGGAAACTGGACATCTAACTTTTAAAGATTTTCTGTTAACCATGAGTCAACTGTGTTTGGAGAGGCAAAGACTGTAGATTGACAGCGTTCATCTAAGAGCTCTGACAGCAGAGAGTGAAAGAATACTGTGCAAGAGAGAAATTTTGAATTTATGAAGGAGGGCAGTGGAGGTGGTCTGTGTGCTTCTGAAGGGTGCAGACCTGAGTTTTCATCAATGTCATGTGAGTGAGCCTTCCAGAGAGAGCTTCCTTCTCCAACCCCAAAGGAAGCATTGCATAAGCATTTCTAAGTGACCCAAAAAAAGATCAAGAGGCACAAAGGGCAAAAAATGATGGAGAAAGCAGAAATAAGGTATTGGAGATGAAGCAGTGGCAGGAGGAGGAAAGAAAAAGCTAAAGGAAGAAGAAAGAATGAAAGGGGACTAGAACCTTCAGGCTTCCAGGATTAGAACTTCACAGTGGGAAGGTTTTCTGGGTGGGAACTTTTCCCCCATGGCATTTTAATACAATTCAATTGCAGTGCTTAAAAATCAACTGGCCTGTAAAGTCAAGTCAGACAGAAGCACGGTTTACCTATACACAATTCCTTTGGAATGAAGGAACTGTAGACCAAGGATGATTTCAGCAGCATAAAACCTGTAAGAAAGACAGTCAAGAAACAGCGTGAGTGTAGGAACAGAGCAGAGTGAAATCCCCAAGCCCTGTGACACTCTGTGTGTATTCAACTAAATGGCATATACACACTCTTGCTTAATTCCAGTAAAGAAGATATCATCCATGCTACACTTAACACAAAGGCTCAAGCACACCCATTGCCGGCCCAGAGAGCATCATTTAAGAGCCAGTATCTTCAGTTAACATCTTCTGAATCTGCTGTTTACTCATCTTAAGTGGCAATGCCCATACTATCATAAAACCCATGCAAACTTGAAACATAACAAATAGTACAGTGTAACAGGACAATAACTTCCTCCTTTATTTTAAATTCTTCCTGGAGCCCACAGAGCTATGTGGCAGACCGTTCTCAACATATCTGGCTAGAATATTTTCATACGGATGATGTGAAGTATGGGCCAGAGCTACAGCGTGCGTGAGAGATGAATAAAGGGATATTAGAAGATAGATGGTGATAAGCTGGTCCTCATCTTCACTGGTGACAGGCTAATGGAAATTAGTTTGTGTCTCTCTGGTGGGATTAAGTCAGACATAGGGGAGAGCTTCCTGGATGTGAAATATGCTGAGTCCTAGGAAGAAAGCAATGCCCAGAAAGCATTTAGGACACAATAGGTGGGCAGCAGGTGTTCAAGTTAGCTTTATAGGACTCTCAGGGACAGAGGGATCATTTCTACACACACACACACACACACACACACACACACACACACACACACACGTGTGCAATGCCTGTTGAGTTCTGCGCAATGCTTCTGAAACATGATAAAAATAACCTCACGTGCTTGGCTGAAGGAGCCTGAAAACCATGGTAATGGCTAGTGCTCCCTTCTAGAGTTGATAAAACAGCCGCATCACTGGGCTTTAGCAGCAGCTGGTGAACCAAGTCCATCTTTCATTTCAGTTCAGCCCTAACCACTCTAAGTAGTAGGTGTGTGACAGATGGCTGAGCACCGAAAACAAAACAAAACAAAAAATCACAGGATATGGTTATCTGTAAAAATAACACATTTATTTCTTTTTCTGTTTATTGTTTATCATGACGCATTTGTGGAGACCAGAGGACAGCCTTTGAGGGTCTGAGATGGCACTCAGGTCCTGAGGAACCATTACTACTAAGCCATCGTTTGAAACTGACTCTAACTCCACTGCTTCCTTTTGCTTGTAGGTTCTACGAGGGGAACAGCTCCATCTCGCTTGCACCTCTGTCCTCTTGACGACAGAGAGGGAGAGGGCATATTTTCAAACACAGGAAGGGTTGAATGCTTTCTCACACCCCCTTGATCTTCCCCAGGACAGGTCAGTCCCACTCCCGGGGCCACCTAGAATATCCGGGTTCCATTTCACTGCCCTTTCCAAAGGACGCGTATTTGCATATGTGCTCAACGAGTTAGGAGCTTGGTGGCTGGAGGGGTTTCCTACCACATGAAGAAATTGTTGTATAACATGCAGAACATGAAATAAAACCGGAGTGGATTTCATTTCTATGAAATGGAAAATTGTTAGTTTCTTTGGCACCATTCCCAAGGATTTACCTTGTTCTGGGACTTAGGCCTGCCAAGCAAGAAGGTAAGAAAAATAACATGTGAGGGGGCTGAAGGGATGGCTCTGTGGCTAAGAGTACTTGGTACTCTTCCAAGAGGACCCAGGTTCAAATCCCAGCACCCACATCAGGTGGCCCACAACTGCCTGTAGCTCCAGTTCCAGGGGATGTGACACCTTCTTCTGGACTCTGAGGGCACGGCATGCACATGTGCACATACACACATCCAAGCACTCACACAATCACAAAAAACAACTTAAAAAGACCACATAAGTAAAACAGTCTGGGGATGCCGAGAGCACATAAACCACCGAGAACACAGAATGCCGCAAATCCCAAGGAGGGCTCTTACGTGGCTCTTGAAAGATCAAATTTGTGGCAACTTTGAATGTGGTACATTAAGTCTCCTCCATTGAGATACTCCATCACGAAAAAGAGATTTTCCTAGGGGACAAACAACCAACATCAGTTTTTAGCACCGAAAGAAAGAAAAGAAAGTTGACTTTTCAAAGAGATTAGGTCATTTTAGAGAAAACAATTCTGTCATGAAATTTCTTATGCAAAGACTGTCAGAATTCTTGAGCTGAACTATATTTTTGAATCCCAGGGCATATAGGGAATCCCTGTGGGAGGGGACTGGGGTTGTGATTCAGCCATCAGGAAGCAGGAGGAGAAAGAATCTGGCTGGATTAGTATGGAGCAGTTAGTGGGTGTGGGGTTTACACACTTTCTCAAAGAGACAATGTATAGGATACATCTGGGTCTCTGACTCCAGGAACAGGTCACGGGGACACCCAAGTTGTATGCTACTCGACCAACGACCACTGAGTGTGTCTGGTGGGCGATAGTCCAGGTCTTCTGTTGAAGAGTCCTTCAGTCTTGTCATCGAGTTTGTGTATTACTCTCATGTCCACCCATCACTCGTGGCAGAGGTAGCCACAGTTTTTGGGCATGTAGCTCCTAGCGTAGGATACCCTGATTGGCATGAGAAATAACAGTGCTCACAGGAAGTGATCAACTGTAATCCTCAGGTTATGGGTGGCACTATCAACTATCAGAGGTCCCAGCTTCCAACCAGCTCATGTGTCTCCAAATATGTGAGCTGTCATTTCTTCAAGAAACATAGTCACAGCTCTCTGAACACCCTGTATGCTTAAGAGTTCTTAAGAGTCCCAGAGTTACTAACCCATGAAGTGTGGAGACAGTGTGTTTGTGCACGAATTTGTACTTAACCTCAACTGAGTGATTAAAAACAAAAACAGAATTAACTTTATGTCTGACATTGAGATTAATCAGGGTGCTGAGGCAGACAAGGTAATGGTTAGAAGTGGTCTGGCCTCACGGTGACATTCACTGCCTGGCATCCTCGCTGAGGCCACATTTCCCCAGAACAAGCAAAGCAAAATACCATGGCAATTATCTTGATAATTTAAATAAAGCTAAGTATCCATCTGCTTCTTCCAGACTTGACACAGATGAAATTTCTAGATTTCACTACTAGAGCTGTGACACACACACACACACACACACACACACACACACTTTTTTTTCCCATTGGTGCACAAGCCAGAATTGTCAACTGGGTCTTTGTAATTTAGCCCTGGCATTTCAAACAGAGCGCAAGGTGGTCATTTCCCTCACCTGGCGGTGCCTGCATTACACCCTTGGTTTATGTTTGAACAGCCTCCAACCTTTACCATTTTCACTCAGAACGCTGCTGGCCTTGAATAAGCCACCACACTGACATCTTCCTTTCGTATATGTGATTAAATATCACACGATAGGGGCTTGGGGATATGGCTCAGTCAGTAAAGTCCTTGCCTTGCAAGCACAAAAGATCTTAGTTCAAATGCCAGCAACCCGGGTCAAAGAGCCAGGCGTGGTGGTATATGCATTTGTAATGCCAGTGCCTGGTGGGACATATGGATTGCTGGGGTTCCTTGGACAGTCAGTTTAGCTTATTTGGTGAGCCCCAGGTCCTAGGGAGAGATCCTGCCTCAAAGAACAAGGTGGACAGATCCAGAGGAATGACACACGAGGTTGACTTCTAGCTTCCACAGGGATGTGCACGCTTATTTACCCAAACACATGAACACACACACACACACACACACACACACACCAACCCACACATACAACCAGTTGGTAAGACCATCTGTAAAAATGCAAAGGGGAAGGTTCCTTTGTAGTGTCAGAATATGAGTGGGGTTCTGAAGTGTTTGGATTTCACTGCTTATACACAATTTATACTCAGTTGCACACTGTCACGATTTGTACACTTTAGGCTTGAAAAAAGTTGGTAAAGAGACTAGGGGGGAAAGTAACTCTATCCCATATATTCCACACATGAGTCCTGTCACAGGGGCTCTGTGGCAGTTGGGGGTCTAAAGGAGGACCTAGTCATTGTCATCTTGGTTCCCTGTACCCAGCTTAGTCTGGACTTCTCTAGCTGGCAAGGCTTTTGATAGCAACTCTGAAGGGAACCTGGGCCAGACCTGTCCTGAGCAAAACACTGTTTTGTTACTCTGAGTACTTTTGTTTACACAGAGTGTGGTTGAGGCTGGCCTCGGCAGCCTACTCCGAGCAATCATCAGTCTCCCCAGCTCCACCAGATCCCTGTAGAACCAGATTTGAGTAAGGATCAACCAAACCAGTTTGGTCAAAACCGCTTGGCTATGTGCCTCTTGCCGCCTCCTTTGTCTTTCTCCTATAAGATCCTTGAGTTCTGAAGACGGAACTTTGCATGCCAGCATAGTGACACACATACCTCTAATTGTAGCACTCAGGAGGCTGAGGCAGGGCATCACTGTGAAAACAGCTTGGGTTAGAATGAGCTCAAAGGCAGTGTGAACTCCCATCTAGAACTACGTGAGATTTGGAGTTTGGGGATCCCATGTTGGGGCATAAATAGCTCTTTTAAAAGTTTAACTGAAACATATATACAAATAACTTTCATCTGTGGCCAGGGAAGGAGAGCCCAGAAAGTGACTTCTGGCTAATCCAGACACCTTCAGAGCTGCTCTCAAAAGCTCTTCCAGGGTGAGCTAGGTAGAGTGAAGCAGGAGGAAGCTACTCAGGGTGACTGAGTGAGTGTGGGCTTTGTCTTAAAGCTGGCTTCAAACCACCGTATTTTCAGTGCAAGTTCATTAACCTCTCCTGGGCTTCATTTTGTTTCTAAAATCAGGCTGGTTAATGCTTATTCCTCTTAGCATTATTCTGAGTATGAAATGAGATGATATTTGTAGAAAGTGAAGTTGATGTTAGCACCTTGTACGCACTGATAACTGGTAGCTGTAAGCATCGTTGGGAAATGGATGAAATTAGTTACTACTCACGAGCAAACATAAACAAATACTTTTTGGAGAAAGAATGAACAGCCGCATGGCTTTTGAAAGAAGACAGAAAACAGGATTGGATTTCTCTCTCCTGGGCTGTTCCCTTGGCTTTGCTTTCCAGCTGAGAGAAAACACTAACAAACATGGTGACTGGGAATTGGAGGCTGTTGATGGGTTAGCTGTTACAAAGTATCTTTCCACGTGGGCAGGAACTGAGGTTTTAACTGCAGCCTTTACTAAGTGGGAGTTCTAATATCCGAGCCCAGACCCACCTGCAAACGAGTTGAGTAATGATGCCCTACCCACCCAGGCTTCAGTGAGACGTACCTGTGAGAAGTGACTAAACACCACACATTTTTCCTTTTCTTGGGGAAAAAGATGAAATTAACAGACAGTGCCCATTCAGCACACTATACTACTATCTAACAATGTAGGTAATAAATGTTAGTGAGAAGATGCCAAGTCTGTAAACTCCCAGGAGAGTTGACTACCCAGAAATAATGCACATTCGATGTATAATTAAGGAAAAAAGAAGAACCTTCTTTTGGATGTCCTTCAAGTCGGATGGGCCATACAGCTAGCTTCCTTAAGGACCCCCTAGAAAGATGGAGCAAAAGGGGGAGCTTCCTCTGCTTAAGCAGCTCTTGGGTATGTTTGCAGAACTTAGCTATTGGTGGACTGCAGGTGACTGTCTATTACAGGTATTTATGGTACCCAGCCTCCTGGATAAATGGAATATTTAAATTAATTCTTCCATGAGCAAAGGATGGAAAGGGTGAATAGGTCTGAAGTGTCTTGTGCTATTTACAGTACACAATGAAAGTGGTAGAGAAAGGCCTTTTTGATTGGTCATTTTACTTGGTTTCTGAAATGCACATCTCTTTCTTGGAGAGGAAACAAACAAACAAACAACTGTGAGGTTCTCAGACGAGAGACAGGACAGGATGGAAGCAAGGGAGTTAGTCATGATCCCTGGGACTCTTGCCTTAGTCTAGGCATTCAGAATCTGAGTAACAAAAGATAGCGTTTTTGTCGAGAGGGTCTTTGAAAGAGTGCACTCTACATTGGAAAGGTATCTTGGGGCTGGCAAGACAGCTGAGCCAGTAAAGGCACTTGCTGCCAAGACCGATGACCTGACCTGGGTCCCAGATTCCACACTGACTCCCAAGGGCTGTCCCCAGACCTCCACACATATACTGTGTCACCTGTCAGTTGTCTGTCTCTTTCTCTCTTTCACACACACAGACTCTTTCACACACACAGACTCTCTCTCTCTCTCACACACACACACACACACATACATACACACAGACAAACTCACACACTATATAGAAATGCCTTTTTGCTCAGTTTGCTCCCCATAGAAGGAAGCACACCAGTACTAGGCACCACTGTTAGTAACAGACTAAACACTGATTCTCAAAGTGAGTACTCCTGCAAGGACATCTACTAATGCCACACTCTTCAGAATGCATCCCCCGAATGTCCTTCCGCTGTCCTCTGATTTTATTAACAGAACAAGAAAATACCGTAGTGTTCCCATCCTGTGGATGAAGCAAGAGTCAACCCATTCGAGACTGCAAGGGTCTCAGAAGCAGGAATTTATTGACTAATGGTGAAGGATCCTGGCTAACAGGAGATAATTTGATGTGGCATTCAAGGATATTTCCTGGCTGCCCAACTTTTAGTTGGACATATCATGGACATGGTATGCATGAAGTCCTTAGCTAAGACCAAACAAACAAACAAAAAACCAAATCAAACCAAACAAAACAAAAAGGGTCACAGTATTCCTAGCTTTACTGTGATTGCCTGACAACTGGTTGAAGGCTGATAGATACTAATGTTCTGTTGCTAGGTGGTTTACACAAACTTCTGTGGCTGGTTTTTCCTAAATCTTATTTATAATTGTGTGTGTGTGTGTCTGTGTGTGTGTGTGTGGTGTATGTGTATCTGTGTGAGCATGTGCAAAAGAGTGTAGACAGAGCACTGTTTTTACTTGGAACTGGACTTTTGGGCAGTTGCAAGCCACCTCCCATGGGTGCTGGAACAGAGCTTTGCGAGGGCAGTATGTGCTTTGTTTGTCTGTTTAAGGCAGAGTCTCTGTTG